GGCTCGAGCTCTGAGTCTGGGCCTGATATTTCGGGCCTGGAGCCTCTTTCGATTCTGTGTCTCCCTCTCTCTGCCCCTCCCGTTCATGCTCTGTCTCTCTCTGTCCCAAAATAAATAAAAAAACGTTGAAAAAAAATTTAAAAAAAAAAATTATTTTAGAAACAATAGAAGTTCAATGTACCTGGCTCAGCTGTGGCTTCTTTAGTGTCACGTTCAAGGGGTCTCACCGGCACTATCTCTTTCCCTATTTTCCCAACTATATTCTTAATTATTTTAATGTACCCAGTCAGAACGGCCCATGTGTGACCTGCTTCTCTGCATTTTCTCCGCCTGGCTCTTTCTCTTTTATCAAAATTCATGAAGCCTGGGTAGCTCAGTTGACATCTGACTTGGCTCAGGTCACTATCTCTGCCTTTCATTGTGAGTTCGAGCCCGATCTCAGAGGCTTCTGTGCTGACAGCTGGAGCCTGGAGCCTTGGGATTCTGTGCTCCCTCTCTGCCCTCCCTGCTGATGCTCTGTCTCTGTCTCTCAAAAATAAATAAACATTAAAAAAAATTTTTTTTTTCTTTTTTAAATTCTTCACCACCTTCAAGTGCCAGTTCTCCATGAGGCTGACCAGATGTCCCCACTCCTCAATTTGGTTTCTGGTGACATGAATCTCAGTATTTCTTTTTTTATATTATAGGTGAAGTCAAATTCTGTTGCAAATAAGCTTTGAAGGAATCATCTTCTTTTTTTTTCACATTTATTTTTTGAGAGACAGAGAGACAGAGACACAGGCTGGCAGGAGGGGAGAGGGAGACAGCAGGCCCAGGTTTGAGCTACCGCACAGCTCAAGCTCTAACTGCCTGGCTCTTCAACCGAACTCATATCCATCTGTGACCTGAGCCAAAAATCAGGCGCTCAACCAACTGAGCCCAGCCTTACTAAGGAAGGGATCATCTTGAAACATCAGAGCTTGGCAAATTTTTCTAGATCTTACTATTTTCAGATGAAGAAATCAAGCTCTAGGGAAACCGAATCATTGACTCAAGCTACGTGAAGCTAAAGAGAATTGCCCGACCCCAAAACCATACTTTCCACACTCCACATTATGTTTTACCATTTTTTGAAACTTGTGTGATAGTGTTGTGACTCTGTGAAATTGAATATTCATCTGAGGATATTTCGATTTAACTTTTAAGTGTTGGTGTGCAACATTGCAAATGACAAGTTAGTCTCAAATTTAAAATTTAAAACTCACCTAATTCCAAGGTTTGAGCCGTAAGTGAACTTTAAGCTGTGGTTTTTTTGTGTCAGCCTGTCGGCCATAAAGCCAAGCCATTCAACAGGCAAAGAGAACTATTATCCACCCCAAAGACTTTTGTCGGTACAGAGGGAAAATCCACCTTAAATTACATAAATTAAATGAGGGTAAGCAGGATTTTAGCTCTACTAGTATAATGTTTATAAATTGCATGGATTTAGCACCACAAAACATTTGATGAAATGTTTTCAGCAGCAGAGGTCATGTGCAAGTGTTGGGACCTTGACTGATCTGGAAAGGAGTTCAGATTCTACCACTTATTAGCTGTGAGGTGGAGTTAATAATAATCCTTTTACCAATCACTTTTAAATAATCCTTTTTTAAATAATCACTTTTAACAATTCATTATTTTTTACACCATTCATAGGCTGCGTAGGAAGTATTTTGTATACCTGCTTTGATTCTTATAACGTGGTACAACAGGGTAGATGTCTAAAAAAACTTTTAATGTTTATTTATTTATTTTGAGAAAGACAGAGAGAGAGCAGGGGAGGGACAGAGAGAGGGAGAGAATCCCAAGCAGGCTCGCGCAAGATGCCGGCACAGAGCCCATCTTGTTTCGAGCAACAACGACAATTTCATGGTGAATCATGACTTGAGCCAAGGTCAAGTTGAATGCTTAACCACTGAGCCACCAGGTGCCACCCCAAGGTAGATATTTTTATTACCATTTAACAGATGAGGAAAGCTAGAGCTCAGAGAAGTGAAGTTAGTGGCAAACCATAATCATCCACTGGCAACCATCCGTTCCAAAGTATGTCACTCAGTCATTTCAAAAAACCTGGTGCTTTCATTCAGAAGAGGAAGATAGTGTCTGAGGGGTATTATAAAGGATAGAGGATAACGACACGGGCAGTCAGTAATGACTAAATAAAACAGTATGTTTTCTAAGTCCTCAGAAAGTTAGAAATAAAAGAATTACGAAATAGCTCAAATGGTCTTCCAGTATGATGGAGTTTGAGGTATATCATTTCAGGTACCTTTGGCTGTCGGAAAAAAAAGAAAAAAAGAAAGAAAAAAAGAAAAAAAAAAGAAAAAAAAGAAAAGAAAAGAAAAAAAAAGAAAGAAAAAAAAAGAAAAAAAGAAAAAAAGAGAAAAAAAGAAAGAAAATAGTCACCAATCACTATGGCATAAAAAAAAATAAGGGACAGCTGATGTGGCTGAACCCAAGGCATAATTTACGCTAAGAATTCTGGATCAATACATTGACGGCCATTTATGCATAGTGTGGTACTCCCACCAAGAAAGCCATTGGCTGAGAAGTTTTATTCGTGTTACTTTCCCGGGGCTGGATTCTCTCATTGCACTCCTAGAACAATCTATCCCTCCTCCTCCCTCCTCCTCCCCCAAAAGCCGTCTGTACAGCCAGGGATCAGATGAGAAACCTTAATAATCAGGAGGCTGTGGTTTGTTTACAATCCTCACAGATGCATGTATTTGAATGTCCGCAAGTTCGCAGACTAAAGGAGAAATAAATGGCGTAGCCTAGCTTTCCCATGTTTTACATGCATATAGTTCGGGGTGGTACTCGATATTTAAATTCCAGTGATGTTGCCAATAAAAACATGGAAATTTGTAGTGTAACAAGACCAAATGCAAACCTCGTTGGTGAATCTTAGGGAGCTGACTCGCTTTTTTTTCTGACAGTTTGAGGGTCTTCTGAGAGGTCACTGTAACTTTAAAATATCACCCACGGGCTTGACTCTATCAGATACCTGCCATGTTCCCCATACAAGCCCCCATTTTCTGAATTGTATCTCATTTTGGAACTCACTCCACTCAATTCGAGGTGCTGTCCCTAAGGGTCTCCAATAACAAAACACTGGGTTGGTAAAGTGCAAGTCTGAACTTCCCTGTGCTTTTCTTAGAACAGGAGTGGATTGACCGCATTGGGGCTTTATGGTTAAAAATGTTTAAGGGTCCGGTATCAGATGCTACACTGGTTTTCTTAATTAAGGTGGGGATTTGGATAAGTTACTTAGACACCTGTCTCCAGATGGGTAAAGCTCAGTCCTTCATCCTTGTCCCGTAAGTAACTCAATCTTTTCCTGACTCCAGTGATGGGTTGGCTTTGGATGCCCCAGTGAATGAAACGTGATTATTCAAAAAAATCACAACCTCAGAACAGCCTTAGGAGCCCACGATGGATAAATGAGAACTCAACAAGAGTTTCTACTCAGAGTCAGGTAGTAAATCGTTTCTCAAATATTCATGAATATGGATGACCAGTTTCTAGCCCCAAGACAAATAACATTCCAACTCCCGGTTTATACATTTGATGGAATGTTCTGGGAGCCAGGGAGGCCAATTCTCTTTGTGTCGGAGCACCCTGCCCAACACACGGCCTCGCCAGCGAGAGCACTTGGCATCTCCCATAATAATGGTGGTGGTGGTGGGGGGGGGGGTTGTACCGCATTTCTTCCTGGACCAAAGTCCCTGAGGACAAGGGCTCTGTCCCAGCCTCCACTGTAGCCTGGCCTCACCTGCACCCGGCAGCGTCCCACTCAGTAAAGATTTGGTGCCTGGATGCGTTTGAAAAGTTACTTTGAATTATACAGAAAGCTATTCGATTGGCATCTGAACTGGTGCATTTGGGGAACCGGGCATTTGCGGGACAAGTTCTTAAGCTTTTGAAAGAAAAATTGAAAATCAGTTTGTGCAGTAGAAATTTACAGAAAGATCAAGAACGCTGATAGTGAGAGCCCGAACCCACGAACCTGATGACCTTTCCCCAGTTTTAACTCTCCAGAACTTACAGCTGGTGCCTGACATTTACAGTATAATGTTTGACACGGTCCTGCGTGCATTGAAACCACAGACTGAGGTGATCCTCATTTTCCTTATGGAGAATAATATATCCGTACAGCGCTTAGAACAGAGCCTGGTATACTGTCAGTGCTCAATACATGACAGCCAGTGTTATTAGCAACTTCCCTTGAAACACAGTGTATCAACTTTTATTTCCTTCTTCATTGAAGGAGTTTCTTTTCTCCGCCGAACACAAACAAACTCAAGATAAAAAGCAAATGCTCTTTTTCAGATCAAAAGAACTCGTGTTTCTTTGTGCAGGAAAGAAAGCAGCTGATGTGGAATACCTCCTTTAAAAATATCTAGTTTTTACAAAGATATGACCCCAGCTTGTGGGAAAATAATTAGTACATAAAAGGGTCTGCCCAGAGCTGTAAAAGCTCTTTATTTAAACCCATGCTTTGGTGCAAAAGATAGTTAAAGATCAATCCAGGCTATTAAAAATAAGAAATGAAATGTATTCCAACAAAAGCCTATAAACATGCTGGTTGTGAAACAAGCTACCGAGGCCAGGCGAGGTATTTAAGTCTTTTAGGAACCGTTTTTATTCCGCTAAGGCCTTTCCCTCCAGACTCCATTGATCATAAATGCAACCTGTCTTCCTCTACCTTTGATAAATGGAAGGACGGATTCATCTGTATGTAACTCACCTCCTCTCTTCTTTTACATAAAACAGATGCCACAGCTGTTATTGTTCTTCAAACAGATGTTTCTGTCCACAGGAACATGGGGGACACTACAATGTGCCATTTGTTCTAGAGGGCTGCGTACCTTGTCGGGGCCCCTTGGCGACTGGAGAGCAATATAGACACCATCCGCTTACCCCATCAGAGCTCCCCCCCCAGCGGAGCTTAACAAAAGGGATCGTCCCTCGTCAGCACTTACCCTCTCTGCAGGGACATCATCGGGAGGCCTTGACAATCCGGGGACTTCCTCGGCCTGGTCCTGACGCTCCGCGCTCTTGGCTTCCTGCTGGCTGTCCACTGGTGCCTTTTCCCGTCCCTTGTCCAGTTTGAAGAGTTTGTCAAAAAAGCCGGAGTCCTTAGGCTTGGCGGGGGCTGCTCCCCCTGACTCAGGTGAGACGGGCGCTGGTCCCCAAGTGGCAGAGACGCCTTCGTCCCCGGCTGGGCTCTGCCCTGGGGTTTTATCTGGGTCGTGCCCCCGTGCAGCTGCCCCCGGAAGAGTCACGCTCTCACTTGGTTCTTTGTTCCCTAGAGCTTTATTGGAGCTGACATCAAGCTTCACTGACCCAGTGGATGCATCCGTGGCTTGGTCTCCAGCACGTCCTGGTACAGGCCGAGCGAGTGTCAAGAAAAAACGAGATTTAGCAGCTGGCGCCCCGGCTTTGGCCTCGTTCCCAAGATTCTTTCCGTTGGCATCCGCAACAGCGCTCATCTCCATTGTCTCGGGGGAAGAAGTGACCGCATTATCCTCCTTGACACTTATTCCCAAATCAACTGTAAACACAAAGACAAACAGCAGTTATTCAGCCCGGCGAGGAAATTCAAGGATCGATAATGGACTCCAAACGTTTGATATACAAAGGCCAGAATGCAGCCGGGGCTCTGTGGCTGTCCGGTCACGCTGCAAAGCAGAACCTGGTCACCTAGAACTCCTGTGACCTTGCTAGGAGAAAAGCCAGTTAGCAGAAAGCCCACACCAGGCTCTGCACTGGTGACACGCACGTTAATGACGCTGTCGGCCTGTTGCAGGGATCCCGAGAGAAGAGTGTTGTCACGATATCAGCTGGGAGGCAGCACAGCGGTCGGGAGCTTGGGCTCTGGAGCTAGAACAAAGTTTCTCAACCTTCTGACTTCTGACAGCGGGCGCTGGATCATTCTTTGCCAGGGGGGCTCCTCTCGTACGCTGCAGGATTCTTAGCAGCATCCCTGGCCTCTACCCAATAGATTCCAGGGCCACCCCCAAGTTGTGACAACCCCAAATGCCCCCCATGTCCCCTGGGGGCCAAAAATCACTCACGTTTGAGGACCACTGAGCTAAAGTGTCTATCTGCACCTGAGGTACCCAACCGTCCCATGCCTCAATTTTCTGGTAAATTCAGGCAAATAGTAGAACTTCCCTCCTAATTTGGTTATGAAGGTTACATGACTTAATATGCTTAAAACCCACAGAACTGTGCCTGATGCATGTTGGTCACTGTCATTATTCACGAGTGAGAAACCTGGCCACCAGAGAGGTTGATGCACCTCCCCACGGCCGCCCAGTGAGCTGGTAAGTAACAGCGTGTGGTCAGGGGCAGACACCTGACTCTGAAGTTTGTGCTCTGTCTTACCATGAGGCCTATATTAGCAGAGACTAAGGGGAGATTTTTATTTATTTATTTATTTATTTATTTATTTATTTATTTAAAAAAAAAATTTTTTTTTTTCAACGTTTTTTGTTTTTATTTTTGGTACAGAGAGAGACAGAGCATGACGAGGGGAGGGGCAGAGGAGGAGACACAGAGGTGAAACAGGCCCAGGCTCGGACCATCAGCCCAGAGCCTGCCACGACTAGCCCGAACTCAGCGGACCAGCAGATCGTGACCTGGCTGGAATTCGCTTGAACCGACTGTGCCACCCAGGCGCCCCTAGAGGGAGATTTTTTAAAAGTAGCACTCGGAAGTTTCCCACAAGGCTGGAAAACAAAACGCACGAAGAAGGCCAATTAGACTTCAGGGCCCGGAATGAGGAGGCATAGGGTCGCTTGTGGATGCAGGGTTCACGCCATCAGGGAGGGCCCTGGCATCACAGCTTTTGCTTGACCAGCTGTGTGGGTCCCATGAATCTCCCTTTCCCCAGTGCCATTTCTAAAGCAGTCAATTCAGAAAGGGGGGGGGGGGAGATGGAGCAACATTATGGAATCAAAGTTAAAGATCAAGATTCTCTACTGATAAGCTGTGTGACCTTGGGCAAGTCACCAAACACCTTTGAATTTCCTCATCCCTCAGATGGGAATGCTAACAGCTCCCTTGCAGCATTTGCCCGGATGTTTACGGGACACAGACTGCTTAATAATGAGCAAACACTGTGATTCTAGCTGATTCTCCCATGCCTTTGCCAGCATTGTGGTTTGCTTTATACAGGTGCAGCCAGCCACTTAAAAAATATCTGTTTGCATAGAGAGAAGAAAGAGAATCTTTTGTCTCTCATACGCTTAGTTAATATGAGAAAACACACACACACACACACACACACACACACACACTTCTATCGGCAATTGTTTTTGCCAAACTCTGGTATCTCCCAGTGTCTAGAGTCGGGAGCAAACATAAAGGAGAGGGAGAGAGAGAGAGAGAGAGAGAGAAGAGCCGGATTCCTAGGTAGAATGAAGGGTTGTCTCTGAGGAACACGGAAAGGACGGTACAGAGGACGGTGACAAGCACTAGGTTGTGATATTCCTCACAATCTCGGACCTCAAGGAAGTCACCCCGTAGGGGCACTGGGTATGTCACCCAGCTCTTCCTCACCCCTTTCCTGTGCTCTAGGAATTCATAACCGTGGTAAACACTGTACTCAGGGCAAGAAGGCGAGAGGGAGAGCCGGAATAAGGAAGTGATAGATGTCAGGGTGCTGAGTAAGCCAGGCGGGCAGCTGACGCATCACAGTGAATATAAATGAATTGTGGGGATGGCCCATGCCAGGGGAAGAGGAAACAGTTGACAAAAAGGCAGAGACTGAGATTCAAAACAAGGGAGGGCTTTTTGAATTGCCAAGAGCATCAGCCTGTCTCTTTCGTTTTTTCCTCTCTTCTTGACTCTCCAGACGGGAATCAAAAGAGCTAATGGTACATGAGAGTGTCCCGCTCAGGGAAAAAGTCTTTGAAGAGAAAACCCTTCTCCGGGAAAGACTTTTTAAAAATTGGCCCATATCGTTATCTTAGTTTCGGGCGTACAACGTGCTAATTCTATATTGGTATACACTCCATACCGTTCGTATATATGACAGCAAGTCTGGTGACCATCTGCCGCCACGCGGTTGACCCCCCCTCACCCTGTTCACTCACCTCCCAACCCTCCCGACCCCTCTGATCACAACCACTCTGTCCTCTGCATCTGCAAGTTTTGTTTGTCCATTTGTCTGTTATATTCCACATATACGTGACTATGACATTTGTCTCTCTCTGTCTGACTTATTTCACTTAGCACAGTATCTTCAAGGGCCATTTACGTTTTTGCAAATGGCAAGATTTTCTTGTTTCTTATGGCCAAGTAGTATTGATTATATATATATATATACACTATATATATATATAGTGTATATATATATAATATGTATATATGTATATATGTATGTATATATGTATATATGTAATATGTATATATGTATGTATATAATATGTGTGTATATATATATATATATGTACACACACACACACACACACACACGCACGCACGCACATATACCACATCTTTACCCATTCATCTATTGATGGACACTTAGGTTGTCTCCATATCCTGGCTGTTGTAAATAATGCTGCAACGAACATGGGGATGCGGGTATCTTTTGGAATTCGGGTTTTCATTTCCTTTGGATAAATACCCAGAAGTGGAATTTCTGGATCATATGGTAGTTCTATTTTTAATTTTTTGAGGAACCCCCATGCTGTTTTCCGCGGTGGCTACACCAATGTGCATCCCCACCAATGGTGTACAAGGGACCCCTCTCTCCATATCCTCACCAACACTTGTTATTTCTTGTCCTTTTGATAGTAGCCTTTCCGATAGATGTGAGGTGATATCTCAGTGTGGTTTTTATTTGGATTTCCCTCATAATTATTGATGCCAAACACTTTTTCATGTGCTGGTGGGCTATCTGCATGTCTTCCTTGGAAAATGTCTATTTACATTCTCTGTCCATTTTTAAATCAGATTTTTTTTTTTTTTGCTACTGAGCTGAGTTTTTTATACATTTTGGATAGTAATCCTTTATTGAATACATGATTTACAAATATTTTCTCCCATTCAGTGGGTTGCTTTTTTATTGTGCTGATGGTTTCCTTTGCTGTGCAGAAGCTTTTAGGTTTGAGGTAGTCCCTGGATAGACTTTTTTAAAAGTGCGAATATATTGCTTTAATATAGGATAAATTCCTTACATTCCAGGTATCTAGGCTGCACCTCAGTGCATTTACAAATCACGGTAGATGAAAACTATATAGCTCTTGATGTTAGAGAATGGGAAAAGTATGTTTTACAACTTATAAGAACTAGCACTTCCTAGATGGGGCATTCCACGATAATGAAGGTCTGCCCCTCAAACTTGGTGAATGCATATGCAAGTCTATCACCCAGAGCTTCTAGTTCCTTTACTAAAATGCTTACTTCCCAGGAGGGCCTGTGATCTAAGCTAGAATAATCCTGTGGCTTTTGCTGAACCCATTAGAACAGAGTTACACCCTTTATGCTTGGCTTGGCAAACCAGCGGGGGTGCATCTGTTAGGGGTGGCCCTGGCCATCACATTCACAAGTACTTGCCTGAGAACCAACACAGATGAAAGCAGAGTCAAAAGATTCAGGGAATAAATGCCCGATGAGGACATTTGAGCCCCTGGATCCAGCTGTGCCTGAAGGTGAAATTTACCGTTACGTGGCCAACAGATCTTTTTTTTTTTCTTTTTTTTCACTTATGCCAGTTTCTATTAAGTATATACTCAGTGACTTGGAGAGAATTTCAGAGAATTGGCCAGTACCTATTCCACTTGTGAAGTAATGGCTAGCAATCTTCTTCTTGGGAAGTTGTCTCCAGGCTCTTCAAGTCTGTCTAGGAGGCATTTACTTCGGAGGAAGGAGGATAAGGAGAATGAAACAAGGAAGTAAGTTCCAAGGAACTGGATAGAAGAGCCACCAACTCTTTGTCTTTGCATTTAAAGTGAAGGGGAAAAAATCCACTTTGGGAGAGACATTGCAACCTCTTGAGACCTTCAATAAACATTAGAAACAAAATATTTCCATGGGGTGCCTGGGTGGCTCAGTCGGCTAGGTGTCTGACTTCAGCTCAGGTCATGATCTTGCAGTTTGTGAGGTCAAGCCCCACATTGGGCTCTGTGCTGACAGCTCAGAGCCTGGAGCCAGCTTCCAATTCCATGGATTCTGTGTCTCCCTCTATCTCTCTGCCCCTCCACCGCTCACGCTCTGTCTTTCTCTCTCAAAAATAAATAAACATTAAAAAATTGTTTTTTAAAAAATAAAAAAAAGAAAGAAAATATTTCCTAAGATATCGACTTAAATGCACACACAACACACACACACGCACACACACACACACATCCGATCTGTGAATGAATAGGAAGAAGACCCATTGGAGTTACAGGTCTTATACCGTTGCAAAGATAAATTTTGTTTACATGGCGTCCTCACATTATTATGGAAAGAATTGAACGGTGCCTTCTAGATGATCGGAACTCAGCTTTCAATTCCTATGAAAAATCTTGAGAGAAGCCCATCCTGAATCTGGTTCCA